GTTACAACTTCGGCAACCTCGGGGGTCTCGACCTCGGGGGTGGCGTTGAGGTAGAACTGCTTCAGGATGTTCTGGCGGATAGTCAAGTCATCGCGCCTAATAATAATTAGCTATATTCCTAGCAACATAAACTATAAATTTGGAAATATCATACTTGGATGGGATCAATCCGTTCTTGGTGATCATTCCCTGGAGCCTGTTCAACTCCTTCTCAACATAGTCGGCGTTCTTTGCAACCTTGGCAAGAACACGGGCATAGTATGAAGCATACTTATCCTCCAATCCCTTGACAGCGGCCTCAACCTCCTCGACAAAGCTGGCCTCCTTGCCCTTGACAATCTTTACAACAATCGTGTCAAGAGCCTTGACACGACCGGCAGTTTCCTTGAGACCACCGCCAACAGCACGGTGGGTACCAGCGTGGTCGTTGATGAACTCAGTGAGGTGCTCCTCGGTGCGGCCATACTCGTAGTCGACAGGCTCAGTGGAACCCTTGGGGAACCACTTGAGGGTGGGGTAGCTGCTGACACCGTACTTCTCGGCGCTGGCCTTGCCGCTGGGCGAGTCGCAGTTGATCTTTGCAATAACAACGTTGGAGTCCTCCTTGAAGTTTGTAGCGAGGGTCTCCCAGGTAGGAGCAAGAGCTTTGCAGTGACCGCACCATGGCTGTTTCAAAGTCAGCAATCCATCATTGTGCTGCCGAGTTGGGTATCACTCACCGCATAGAACTTGACCAAAACATCCTTAGACTCATCCAACACAACCTCGCTGAAGTTTGAATCCGTAACAGTCTTAACATCACTTGGGGCCTCCTTCTTAACCTTTGGCTTGACACCCATCTGCTCTGAGATGAAGGTCTGCAGTGACTCGAGGTCGCGCTTGCTCTCGTAGGGGATTGGCTGGTCGCTCTTTCCATCGAACCATTTCAGCGTCGGGAAACCCTTCACGCCAAAGCGCTGTCCGAGGGACTTGTGGTCTGCGAAGGGAGGTTAGTTAGTCTGTGTAGAGCACAACAACCAGTGGAAAGCGACATACTGTCTGCATCAACTTTGGCAATTGTAATCTTGTCCTTCTGGCTGGCGAAGGAGTCGGCGAGCTGCTCATAGATGGGGGCGAGGGTCTTGCAGTCTGTGGGAATCCATTGTTAGTTTTGGCCGAAAGGACCTCCGGCTCCGGACAAGTAGAACTTACGGCCGCACCATGGCTAAGAGAATTGTTAGTAGATGGCCCTTATAATCTTCTCGGGAGGTAAACAACGTACTGCAAAGAACTCCACCAACGCCGGCTTCCCGCTCTGCAGAATCTCTTTATCGAAATTCTTGGGAGTGAGGTCGAGAACATTGCTAGCCTGCGCAACAGCCAGGAGCGAGAAGGCCGCAAAGAAGGATCCGAAGCCCTTCATGATTCAAGTTAATTGTTTTAGGTTATGGTTATAGGGGTATATTTTGTTGTCTGTGTTGTGTGTGTGAATTTTGTTTTTCTCACGCAAGCTTGATAGCAGCTTTATGAAAGAAAAAGAAGGACAGATTTCCACCGAGCTGGTGAGCTGTGGCACTGGCTGGCTAGTGGCGGCGGGATGCGTTGCGTTGCGGCTGATAAATCCAAATGCCTAATCGGGTGAACCCTGGCATTCCATCATGTAAGGACATGGGTGTGGCTGATGAAAACAATATAATGGTCGTAAGATGGAGCCTCGGATCACGATCTGGGAGCTTCCTGGGAGTAAAGGCGGTCTTCTTTTTGAATATGGTTTTGCGTTTTGGTGGACGTGGGTGAAAGGTTTGAATACATTATCAGATCTGGTAGATGGATCTGAATAACACGATGCTCAATATATGCTCCCTTACTTGTACTTCGTAGTTTTCTATATTTGGTATACAAGTGAGTACAAGAAAAGACTAGGCAAGATATGAGTGTAGATTGTTTCGTGCAGGTTGTGTTATGTGATTATAATTATCAATATTTACGTGCTCCTGACCGTGCAAGCTAGCTTTAACCCCGAAAAAGTCTCGAGTAATAATATCTTCATTGCTACAACCCAGCTAACAAAGCTACATAGGTGATGAGATACTTAACATTTATAAACATTGTATCCAGCTAGCTCGATACTTGGCAAGTTTCAATTGCTATCAGTATCAGTGCCCTTCATTACCATCGATAAACATTCCAATCCTTAATGTATCATTCCTTTATCTGAGGACATTTAGTTTGATATGTTTGTTAAGCTGTAGGGTCAAATGCTCAAGATATTTGTGGCTCAAGCAAATACAATTGAATTTAGGCCTCCGTATCATTGGCATGATCTGGCTCTCCTCTCTTCTCTGCTTAGGCTTGTTTGTTCCTAATCATTGCAGTTAATACTCAATGATGGAACCAAGTACCGGATTTCTTGCTTTTCTAGGTATTCGGTACTCTAGGACAAGAATTTTCCTTACTGAAAGTCAATCTCCTATTCATCGAGTTTCAGGTCTTCTTTGCTCTCTTCTTTGTATTCCGAGACAGCTAAGGTCCCAAATTTCAATCCGGACTGACCGCCAAAAGGGACTGCCTATCATTGGTTTTATCCCGGGGGTGTCGTTCCACTTGTCTATGGGTTCGAAGAGAGCTCTGATTTGCTATCCATCATGCCATGGAGCTTAATAGCAGTTATACCTGCTACGTATCAGCACATATAGCTATGATAACACCCCATATCCTAACCGCCAGCTCCATTTACCCATAATCCAAACCCCACCTCTCCCGATCTCTCCCAAGCTTTCCCTCCCCCCTCCAAACGAAACAAAACAAAACGAAAACCCACCAGACCCCATCCCCACACCTCTCCCCTCCAAAAAAATAAAAAAAAAATGGTACAACTCACCGTCGTCGAAGACGTCGAAGACGCCCACTTCGCGCAGCAACGCCCCTACCAGGACCAAGAAGACGACTACGCCTCGGACTCGGACGGCTCCTCGCTGTCCGACGACAACGACGGCGACGTCGAGATCGAGGAGACGCTGTACGACCGCGTTGTGGCGCTGAAGGACATTATCCCGCCGCGGCAGCGCGCGGTGCTGAGTGCGGGGCTGTCGTCGGCGTATGGCGTTGTGAAGAGCGGGTTGAGCATGGGCGGGACGACGCTGTGGGTGCTGGTGACGGGGGCGTTTGTGGTGGGCGTGCCATTTGCAGTGGCAGTGGGGGATGAGCAGCAGTTGGTGGAGATGGAGAGGGAGATGAAGGTTTGTTGATGCTGATGCCTTGGAGCTCTGATTGTGGGAGTGGGGTTGAGTGGGGTTGGATAGGATACCGGGCTGACTAGTGGTGATTGTGTAGATGCAGCAGTTTACGACGGATGTGAGTATCGACAGTGTGGATTCTTGACTGGAGAGCTGCTTTTCCAGATCTATAGAGTGTTTGAGGAGATACATAGAGCTGACAATTGTGTTTTTAGTCTCTTTCGCCCGGTGCTCAAACGGCGGTTCTTGGGGAGCCACAGAAGAAGTAATGGGTTATTGAAGACGATTTATCTTATTTTTTGTTTATTGTTCAAGTCAGGACTTTTATATACCCTTCCATCTAGTATGACGATGGTTCTTGAATGGAAAATATTGGTTCTTCTTCCAACCACATCCTCTGTCCATACTCTCTTTTTGGTGCTTTGGGGTGTCACTTTGCAATTGGAAATTGGAAATAAATAGCCTCTGGTGCATCACGAAGCTTCAAGCATTGCTTCACGGGTATCAATTCAGCAAGTAGTCTATTGTAAACAGCTCTCCGCCTCCCTGCTCAGGTCCCATTAAGCTCCGTAAACTCCATACGCCCGCCAAATCCCAAATCTACATAACCGGTAAGCAGCACAATGAAACACAGCCCATCGCTCACATTCACGGTCCCTCACTCATTCGTCTTTGCCCAATGCCTTCAGCGCCTTCGCTCTCAATTGCTCTACGCCCTTGACGCCCTCCCACTTCTCCAAACACACCTTCAGCACACCCCACTCCCTCTCCGCCTCCTCCATATTCCCCTCCTTCACCGCCGCCTCAATCCTCTCCGGACACCCCAGCGCCCACACCACCGTCTCCTTCTTCCGTTTACTGCCCTCTCGGCCCTCCGTCGAGCTCAGCGCAACCGGCGACACCGGAATCGTCTGCACAAGCGACGCCGACACCTGCGCGATATGCGCAATCGCCGGACCGAGAGTCGAAGTCGTGGGTGCGAGGGGCTCCATGTTGGCTCTCATCTTCAATGTTCCCAGTTAAGCAGCTGCGCTCTATGTATGTAAAAACTACGGAAATATAGAAAACTAGATATATACCTTCCGGATCGTGTCCGTGGCCATGATCAGCTTGCTGTAGTTGTCGTACACCAGCGCCTTCCGCTCGCCGTCAAAGCCACGTATCTCTACACCCCCCACCGTCAGTATCTACGCCCTCTTGTCCGCTCACTACATGTAGCTAAGCCCAGAAGCCAGAGCGCATACCGTTCACAAGCTCATTCTCGACCCTGAGCAGCTCCTTCAGCTCCGCCGTCTCAAGGAGCTTCTCGACATAGGTGCTAACCTCGAAGCCCTCGCGGTCGAGCTCCCCGACCTCCTCCACCGGCTCCTTCGGCGCCTCTTCCGCCTCCCCACCAGCTTCACCAGAGGCCTTGAGCCCGTAGAACTGGCGGAGCGCGGACCTGTTGCGGCGCGGAGAGCGGAGGCCGGGGCTGGGGAGCGGGAGGTCGAGGGAGACGCCGCGGGAGGAGGAGCGGGAGGACGGGGAGGGGAGGCGCGGAGAGGCGTGGGAGGCGTCGAATGTGATTGCGGGGGTCGTCATTGCTGTTTTGTGCAGATCTTTGGGTTTTTGGGGGGGAGCTTTGGGGGGGGGTGTTTTGTGGGGAGGGCGTCACGTAAGCAGGTGACAGTATCGCGTCCCATCTCTTCTCACCTTCTCCTTCCTCTTCATCTTTCTTCATCTTCCTTCCCTCCTTCTACAGTCCTCAACAACCTCACCTCTCACCACAACTCGCCGCCGGAAGAAATGGCGGCCATCTCCCAGTTCCCGTTCCCCATCCCCACAATCACTCCTGTAAGCCTTCTCTTCCCCTTTCTCGTATCACATCTACGACGCATGCTAACAAGCCACCAGGAAGACCTCGCAGCCTTCGACGAAACCCACTTCTCCCCCACCGCCCACACCCACCTCACCGCAAACTTCCTCCCCCCTCCAGACCCCTCTGCCGCCGCCGCCCCTGCCGAAGATGAAGAAGACACCCTCGGCTACTACCCCGACGGCACAAAACGCACCCTGACCGACACGCAGATCAGCATCTTTCGGCACAGCGAGATCCAGGACCTCCTCCGTACGTCTTCCCCCCTCCCCTCTCTCATCTCTGCATACAACTAACATTCTCCAGGCCGAAAACGCCACAACCGTAACCGCCGCCGCAAGTTCCGCGAGCGCCAGGCTGCCCAGAAAGCCGCAGAAGCGGATGAAGTCCGCGCGCAAGCTGCTGCTGAAGCGGCTGCCGCGAACCCAGTCCCGCAGACCGAGGCCACTGAGGGGCAGGTGCGGAAGGGGAGGCTCGAGGCCGCCATCTGGGCGAGCGCCATGCAGTGGGACGAGCAGGAGGGGGGTAATCAGGGGAAGGACCAGCCCCCAGTTGAGGAGCCGAAGGTGCTCGGCAGGGTAGATAGGGCGTCAGGTAGGGAGTTTTTGTGGCCGGCGATTGAGAGGTAAGCCGTGTTTTTTTCCTTCTTTTTTCTTTCTTTTTTTTCTGTTGGGGATGGGGGGAGGATCCTAAGTGATGAGAATTATATACGTCATCCTTAGACGGAGTCTGAAGTCCCCTGTTCGGGACGTTCGGATGATGACGACGAGAATGTTCTTACTATATCTGATAGGATGGTTATGAGGGACTGTTTTCTTCATTGTAGCGAGAGTTTTGGTTGTATGCGCAGTATGCTAACTGAAACCAGGGCGTAAAATCTTAATGTAGGTACTCATAATTCACGGTTGCTTTCTTTCTTCCTAGGAATGGTTTCTCGTACTACTTTATGGAGGGCAGTAAGGGGCATTGGCTAGCTGGCTGGCTTTCTAAGAACTGGTATGGCTGATATTGGTATGAGGAACAGCAGGCAGTCCAGCTGTACTCCCGACTATTTAACATTACTGGCGTAATATCTTCTTACAAGCTGGAAAAGAGCCGGTCACGCCAGAAATATCGAACGACGCGATTCAGAGTGCCCTACCTGATATTCAATAACTTAAACCTCTAGGGTTAGGTCACTAATATCCTAGTATTAGACTAGTTCGCTACTATTAACCAGCGATCTCTTTACCAGCCATATTTTATCTACAGCACAATCTTATTCAAAGATACTATTCTAGAACATTCAGCCCTGACTATACCAATACGTATCTTACGCCCCTTAGAGGGCGTTGAGCACTCTAGAAATATTGCCGCCCCATAGATTCACCACCAACACATCTGCATTATCTTCATACTCATATACACTGTAATAACTTTTGCCCGTAGTATCTACCATAATAAAAAGAATATTGTTGAAACTCTCTCTGACCCTGTAAGAGTAGAAACCCTAACCCTGTACTGGTGACCCTTCGCCCTTGTGAATGTATGTGGTGTGAGGCAATATGATTGCAATCGATTAGGTTTTCCGCCTCTAATCAAGTCAACTCACGCTTTCGGCCCCGTCAACTCATAGTTATGATTAATTAATGGCATAAACTCATACCTATTCGATTATTCTGATTGTTTACAGATGATATTTCAGGCCTTAGAAACCGAATTTCTTCCCAAAATTGGTCTTTCGCAATAAATCGATTAAATCATGAGTATAAAGAGACAGTAAAACCAGGAAAAATAACAGCGGAAATAATCATCTGTCCTCCAATGATCTTAAAGAAAGACTAATCATGATTATGATTCGAAATGTCACCCCTAACCGAGTCTAATCAAATTATACACTCGATTTTTATACTCGACTATAGTCGACTCATGCCGCACACGTACACTAAATGTATGTTTTGTATAAAGTTGTGAGCTACTTAGAAGAATGTGCTTTGTGGTTTAGATGTGACTGGCTAGATATAGGGAAGAAAGCTAAGTTCATTGATCACAGAAGAGCCTTCGGGGTGCGGGTGTGGGGGATATCAAAATACAAGACGGAGTCATATTGTTCGCCAGATTCTACACAGCTATAGTCAAGACCCCACCTACGTCCCATCACAGACCCATATCGTTCGTTAGCTCCGAGAGCCCTGTTTTGAGGTAATAATTTGACACCTTATCCTCCCATAAGGGTTACCTCGAGGCCTATTCTGGGGTCCTTGTGGAGTGGCTAATATACGTTACTATCTCGAGATCTCCCTGGAATATATGGTATATCTCAACCCCATATCCACCCCACACAGTCGATCCCGACGGTTAACTCGCCTGGAGACACACGTACATCTTTCATACATGTAGCCGTATTCAACATTCACATTTACAAGCACTGGGACAAAAACGACTCTGATTTAAGGCTTCATAATAGTGCAGTAAGCAATCATTGGCACCTATCTGAAACTAGATTAGTGCGGCACGAGTGACATCCTATGAACCCATTATTAGTCAACAAGTATGAGTAATATAAAGAACTACGGGCGCTTATTCTAAACCACCTTTCGTGTTTTCGCGGAAACTGTATCGTGAGTACTATGCTCGGGATATCCAACCAATCAACAGCTGCCCATGATTCGCGCAACCTGTTTCTGTCCCTGGCGATCGATCATGCATGTAACTGAGCCCTAACCCCATGTCCATGTAAGGACAGCTAATGCGCAGTTCACACGGAGCTCTTTTAAACAGGCAAGCAGCATCTTCTGACCATTTCCACCCCTCACGGTACCCACCCACTCACTCACCATCCATCGAAATGCCGCTCCTAAAACTCCCCAACGAGATTCTGATCCAGATAGCAGAGTGCCTGGACCCCAAAGACTTTACAAACTTCCTCGTCCTAAACCGCTTCTTCAAGAGCCTCTTGACCCCTCTCCTCCACAGTCTCGCCTTCAGCGACCCAGCTCGGAATCTGGACTGGGCATGCACGTGCGGCCACGAGCACCTTGCCCGCCTTCTCCTCGAGGGTGGAACATCGCCGAATGTCCGATCCTGGCTCAATCGGTACCCGCTCCAAGAGGCCGCCTTATACGGTCACCTGCCCATAGTCAAGCTTCTTCTCCAACACGGCGCCGATATCAGCGTCAGGGACAAAGACAACGGCACGGCGCTCCACTGCGCAGCCGGCAGTGGCGAGCCTGCCATCGTACAGCTGCTCTTGGAGAACGGTGCCGACAAAGAGATTAACAGCGACATGCTACACAACATCACCCCACTTATGTGGGCGATCAAAGGCCTAGAGATAGCTTACGCAGTGAACCTGGAGAAAGCCAATCCAGAATGCACCCTGAATTATTACTGGAACAAGGAGGGCTTCCTTGACGGTGACATGTTTAGTCTTGTAGAGCTCATCGAGCATAAAAACAATGCGATGGCGCGGATGCATGAGGCTGTCAAGATACTACTAGAATGGGGCGCAGATGTCACATACTCTTGTAATACTGGGGAGTCAGTGCTGCATGCGGTGGCAGGTCTGGAGGGATTTGATGCGGTGGACACGGCGGAGCTGTTGTTAGAGTGGGGTGCCGATCTACATGCGGTTGACAATGAAGGGATGACGCCGCTACATATGGCGGCGTATTCTGGGTTGGTGGGTATCGCGACGCTGTTTTTGGAGAAAGGTGCGGACGTGAATGTGGAGGATTCGCGTGGTCGGACGCCGTATAGTGGATTGGTGGTCGGTTTTCATCCGGAGGTCCGCCAGCTACTTAAGAGGGCCCAAAGAAAAGCTCAAAATGTTAAAGAAGACAAGGCATAGGAGGAAAAGCGAGCCCTTGGGCCTCTGTAATTATTTGCTCTGCCTTGGTTTCTGTAGATGTGGTTGGTCGTGGGATCTTTGTGCCCTAAACCGCACCTGGATTTTGGGCCTGTAACAAAATTGCAGGCAGTTTTGTTCCTGAACAGATGCCTTGATACTTCTCCCACGAATGTTAGCTGGGGGGATATTCATGTCCAGGGATATCTGTCACGGATGACTCGCAAGGTGATGAGTTGGAGGCCTGTAATTCTGGCCACAGACGTGAGGCATATATAGGTGGCGAATTTCCTTTTGTACTCTGGTCTTTTAGCTATTGGTAAGCCCCATTCCTCGATATGAGGCTATGTGGGTACATTGATGTTCCTGGTGATGGTTTTTTGCGAACTATGATGGAGATTAGCGGGTATTTCAGCCGTAGATTAGGTAGAGAGCATATATAGTTGCGTTGTCAGGGTATTCAACTTCTCATTACCAATATTCATAGCCCTAATAGGATTTTATACTCAAAGTACCAAGTTTCATTGTATGTAGGGCGTATATATTATGAATTACCCCCCAGGCTAGCAGCTTGTAGCCCAACTGAGGAGCTTGTGTATGGCGTCTGAACAACTAAACCTGATCTTCCGGGATGGCCATAAAAGCTCTCTCTTCTAATTGAAGCTCTTGTTGAACGGGCCGTGACTTGAACTGGTATCCTTATTTCCTAGACAACATTCGCCTTCAAAGGACGGCATGCGCATGCAGCATATCTACTATACTATAAAAGAATATGGTCTGAAAATTTTCGTTAAACCGGCCTAATCCTACATCCGGCCCTGGCCATGGGGGAGACTAATTGGCCAAATAATGAGGCCAAGATAGTTCAATCTGCGATTGTAGGTCGGCCAGAGAGAGCTCTGATCAATATCACACATACCCCACCCACTAAGGAAGGCCCTCAGGCCCCTCAAAAAAAGAAAAAAAGAAAAGAAAAGGGCAATAAATACACAAAAAGTAATGCTGTGACCATACGCCCCTCACGGGCTATAGGCCCTAATTCGCGGAAGGACCTGAGATCAACTACCCGGTATATCGGACTCTACTCCCCGTTACATGCCGTACACCCCAGAGCATTACTCCCACCCCCGCAGCTGAACCCATGACCTGCTGATGGTCATGGGGACTACCCGCTCGGTGTAGCAAGACGAGGCGTCTACAACTAGACTACCTCGCCCACACAACTGTCAAAGGCCGGGAAGTAATATTTAAGGGAGTGAGGGCAGAGCGGGCTAGGGGACACCTAACCCTGCAATCACAATCTACCACGAACCCACTGGCCACCCTCTTGTGGAGTATAATATAGGAGCAAATGAGATGAACAGGTTGGAGAGCATCGATCTATTATATCCTTTCGGCTGATTCCCTATTGAGGAGCTAAAACGATAAAAGAGGGGGACCTACACTTTAGTCTGGTTCCTAGGCATTTTGTCGCAGCTTCAGCATGCTGACAAGATACTTCACAGTCTAGATACGAGATAAATACATATGTATCTGTATACGTATTACTTATCTATTATTTCCTCGGCAATTTCCCTCTCTACTGCTTCTCTCTTTCCCTAAATTACAACTTTCTACTTTATTAAGTATTCCCCCCAGAACCGCTACGTAGGCTGACTGATTATCGCTTTTTGGGTTTTAAACAGCCAGCCATTGCTGAAGGAATACAACATACTATGTAGCTATTCGTGCTGGGATGTATGTCACCTTCTACCCCATGCGGTTTAGATAGGGCCGCTCTATTAGAAGTTGTTTTTCTAAGTATTCAAGCGACAAGTTGCGTTCAAGGGTCAAACCTCATTTCCAAAACACCGCCGAGTGATATCGTATGAGAGCCCTCGATCCAGCAACACACAACCAACCAAGCATGCCGGGAATCCCACATCTCACCACCACGCCTAACTACTTGCGAGTCAGACGCACATCAACGCCAGCCCCATTCTTGTACACAAATGCACAACAGTTCAGCATTTTACCCAGATGACCTCCTAAGAGGAAGCTATGTTGCGCCAAGCTTTACCGCTACCGGGGTCTCGGACCGTAGGGGAATAGTGCTATGTAGCCTCTGCCGGAACAGACCAGAGCTCGCATCATTGCGTCCCGTGCCAACCATTTTGAAAAGTCGGACGAACATGTGGAATTCCCGTTAATACTGGCCAGGGTGAAACGGCGTGGGGTAGCACCGTAGCAGATAGATATATGCTTGGCGTTTAGGTTATATAAGCGCCTGAGGATAAGATAAGAAGTGGCCCTTTAATTTGATGCATGGGTTATATATACATATGACGGCATATAAATATAATCTATATAACAAACCAGATAAATCCCATGGACCACATGTAGCCATGTGGGTCTACACGCCGCAGAGATATATATTTTGCGTTCTTGCCAGCTGTACGCGGTGTGCAGTGCAAAGAACGATGCCAAATGGTATTCCCATACCGAGAATCAAGAGCTCCGGAGGAAGAAGTGGGCAAGAGGTTGAAATAAGGATGAACGGACCTAATTGTCTTACCCCGCCACTTGGTAGCGGATTGTAAACATGGATCATCCGACTGTTGGGTCACTGATATGTTGCAAGGGTGGTGGGGGGATCCGGGAGGCCTATATGTTTCGGAATTATATCCCTGGGATGTTTAATATATTAAACGCCAATGTGAAAAGGTTTAATTTCACCCTAAAGGGCGGATATATAAACTGCGGTATGTTTTCTGAATCGTGGATATTGTGCGTTTACTCTGATTAAATATCAACTAGCCATTCATTTTGCTTCAATATCAATTACTCCCTCAACTCCGATAATGGTTTCCTCACTCAAAGCTCTATCTACATTCGCTGCATACTGCGCTCTCCTGTCTTTTGTATCGGCTCACCAGAATCTCCACGAAGTACATACCCACCCACTCTCACCAAATCAAGGGCTAAAAAACCAACTAACTGCTTCAGTTCTACGTCAACGGTGTCACAGTCGGCTACGAAGAATGCATGCGAAGGCCACCCAGCAACAACCCAGTCACCGATGTCCAAAGCACCGATATTAGATGCAACGTAAATGGCCTGTCAGCCAGCGGGACAAACCCGGTTCCTGGGGTGTGTGCTGTTAATGCTGGTGATGAGATTACTGTATGTTCCCGGCGCCCTTGCCCATATAACAGTAATTATAAGAGGTTAATTGTGATATACAGGTTATCTGGGACACGAGTAGCCATCCGGGCCCAATCCAGCACTTTCTTTATGGTATGTACAGCCTTTATCCAGTAAAATAAAGACCTAGCTAATGAGCGTGTAAACTACAGGACCTGTCAGTGACGCCCTCACCGCTGACGGCTCTGGAGCTAAATGGTCCAAAATCGATGTTCTGAACGTCCAAGACGGCAAGATGGCGAATGTCATCATGATGGAGAACGCCGGGAAATACACATTCAAGCTCCCGGAGAACCTTACGAGCGGGGAATATCTCGTGAGTAGAATTGGATTCCTGATATAGAACATTCAGAGACTTGCAGACTGACGTGAGGGTTGCTTGTAGTTGAGATCAGAGATGCTGGCGCTACACGGGGCCGGGGTCATTGGGGGTGGCCAGTTCTATATCGGGTATGAATATTAATTGGTTCGTGAGTGATTGATCTGATTGATAGCTAACAATTAGTTATCCGACTCCAGGTGTATGCAGCTCAAGATCACAGGTCCCGGTGGTGACTGCTCGCCGAAATTCAGTCTTCCAGGAATCTACAACGTTAGTCCTCTTCACTCCCTGTACCCACAGCCGGCCATAATACTAACGTCTCAACTATGACTAGGCGTCGCAACCCGAAATCTATATCCCGGATGTCTACAACGGCTTCAACACCTTGACCTACACCGCCCCCGGCGGGCCAGTCGCAACATGTACCGCCGGCTCCGGATCAGGCAGCACCCCGGCCTCGACAACCGCCTCAGCGTCAACCACGCGCATGACTACTGCAGCGTCTAGCTCTGTCACGCCGTCAAGCACAACGGCAACTTCTGCAGCTGCGTCGGCTACTGGAGCGGTGGTTGCTAAGTACGGGCAGGTAAGGAGCACCCACTCATATTCTTGTGGTGTATTTGCAATGGCTGACGGCGTGGTATTGTGTAGTGTGGTGGAGCAGGCTTCACTGGGTCTACGAACTGTGCGTCGGGGAGTACGTGCCAGAAGGTTAATGATTATTATTCGCAGTGTCTGTAGTGTAGCTGATGGGGGTGGGATGATTGTAAATAGTAAAGACCTTGATTTGATGAAATTTCGTTACAATGGGCTTGAGTGAGATACTTATACGAGTGATATTTAATGACGGGGTGCTCGGTTAGTTCGCATCGGCCTCTACGCTAGCTCTGCCCACTTAGCTGATCCGATAAGGACGGTCCACTCGTCCCAGTCCTTCCTACCGTCTAGGGATCTCGGGACGTCCTGAGATTTTAGGTGCTCCCTTGTGGCGATGGACATAAAATTGTAAAGACGTCTTGGGCACGAGTAGGTACAAGCCACCAACCTCGCTTAGGACACGCCGGAGTAGATTCATGTCGTATCACTCGGTTTTGTCACGGAGTATCAATGATCGAATGATCATAAAATGACTGCGAGCGTGAAGAGGATGGGATTTTGTGGCCGCGTTTCTGAGTATTCTAACATGGGGGAGCAAAGATGTAGAATACATTACACTGGTCAGAACTTTACTAGATGTTATATAAAGCGTATGCAGACCCCCCCCGCGCAACGTGTTTACTTCTAAGATGGATTCTGTTTGGCTTCCGGTGGTGAATTGATACCACTAAATTCAAAGAAACAGATGACAAAAGAATGATGGTGATAATAATAACATTAAACGATAATACTAATTACATACAACCAATCGCTTCCCGCCCAACCCAGCCCCCGTGTACAGGTGCCCCTCCCCAAACTTCTCTACAACACACGGGAACGGCAACAACCACATCTCACCGCCCATATCCGGAAACCATATCAGATCCTCCAACCCCTTATTCTCCACCCCCGCCACACGGTACGAATAAGTCTCCTCCACAAACCCACTCATCCTCGGCACCTGCGTCAGCCGAAACTCACCCCGCAACTTGTCCCCCGCCACAATGCGAAACACATCCTTCAGCTTCCCACCCGTACATACCCACAGGGGAACATATGTCGAGAACGCATTCTCATCCGAAAACTCCATCTCTAGCTCCATGATGATGTTCACCGCAAACAACCCCTGGTGGTCCCCGTCCCGGCACTCACCGGCCTGCGTCGCAATAAGAAGCTTATTCAAGCAGATAAGCGTACTTGGCGCCACAGGTACCATCTTCTCTGCAAAGAAACTATGATTCGCATACGGCGTGTCCGCATCCCTCAGGAACTCGGCTGGGGTGCCAGGGCCCCAGCCGTCGAGGGGTTTACAGTACCAGAGGCCCACACAGTCCTCATACTGGTATATGTAGCGCGTGCCGAAATGGGTGTCAATTGTAAGCTTTGTCTGTGACGCCTTCCCCCTTCCGCCGAGGAGGTGCGGGATGTATATGGGCGCGTAGGGGACGACGTCGACGCCTTGGAACTGCTGCCATGTGCCACTGCTCTCGAGGGCGGCTTCGAGGGTGGGGTTGCGGGTCTCGGTGCTTTGTGGGTGGAGCTCGAAGACGTTGTGTTTGGGGGGGTTGTCGGCGGTTATCTGGATGCGAAGGTGGGGCATCTTGTACAAGTATTGAGCAGTACAATGTAGTCACACGCCTCACTAATTAATTAAGTGGGGCATATATGAAGACGAATTTGCGAGCATTGAAAGCTGAGACTCGGTTGTACAGTGAGGAGGTTTACATACGCTCTTTTTCACATACTGTGGCTTCAGGAACACCTTCTCATGATACGCACCGTTGGCCAGATTGGAGGAATTGATAGTGATGCCAAGATCGAGTGATAGTTTATGATCAAGCATCCCCGTCATCTATCTAAACGTACACGTATCCCTTCGTTTGTCGATATTGCTGCCCACTCTATAATACAGAATCGTAGTTTAATCTTGGTGAAAGATAAACTTTTATCGGTATCCCCGCAGTTGAGAAAAATAAAAAATAAAAAATAAGCCATTCTAGTGAAGAGGGGCCTGATTCAACGGGGACGCAAACACTTGTCCAGCAAGTCATAGTGTCTTCTCTTCTCACTATGTGGTAAGTGGGAACAGCAAGTGCGGAGGTCTCCTCATGGCCATAGGAGACGATACGGGAAAGCTAAGTCCATCTGTAGTTGGCCATGCATGGAGTGACGACCCAGTCAAACGGTTCTCAAAATTTCGCAAGTCTCAATTAATTCTTTCGGAAAAGGTCTAAAATGACATAGTTTTCGGTAGACGTACTCTAAAATAACACATGATACAAGATGACACAGTTCGCTACTAGATGATCTAGAATGAATATTGTGGATTGACATTGAAGGGCTAGAGGTTCCGCTTCATCTTGGCACACCGCCAAGCTCAAGTATCACTTCCAGCGCAGCATCCACTATTGGCGGGTGGTCTAGTGGATAGACTGCTCGTCGGGTTAGACACCGAGCGTACCCAGGATACAACCAATACACACATAAGGTCCTGGGTTCAAACCAGGGGTGGGGGTAGCAGTCGCAAATGTCTTAATAAGTCGCTGCAGTACCTTTTGTAGTTTTGTAGAACCTTTTGCTCCCCCTTTCTTCTCTTGTAGTGAAATAAATTAGGAACGCTATTTTGATGTTTGATTTCTCTAGAGGAGGAAGGGGTGAGTGGTGTGGGGCTGGGAATCGACCCATATTATACTGGCTTTGCTAAATATATTTGTATCATTTTGCATCATGTGTTATTGCAGAGCATGTATACCGAAAACTGTGTCATTTTAATCTTTTCCATAATTCTTTTGCTAATTTAGATTATCTCTCTACATACATGTACTTACTAATATATCGACTCATAAAACGGGAAGGTATCAATACTAGATAATAGAAAAACCGCGTATAAAATTTAACACTAACGCCCAACTAGACGAAAACCAGAAGGAAAAGAAAGTATAATAAAACCCAAAGAGCGAACGTTAACCACACGCATTTTTTTTTTTCATCCAAAAGCTCAGAACTCGTACTCGTAACTCGAACGATAATAGGCCTTAACCCACTTAACCTAGATATAGCCCTAGCAGAAAAAAATAAAGTAACCGGGGAAAGGAAAGATAGCTATAAAAAAAAGATATAAAAGTACAAGCCAGTAAGGAAATGTTTTTAGTAGAGCTTTTAACCCTCGTCAAGGTAGGAATATGTATACAGTACAACTCCTCCCAAATCCACAACCGCCAACGACACCAATTGCAACAGCAACTCACTACACCCGCCCGCCAAACGACTATTCGTAAAGAAAAATGAGAGCAAAAATAATAAAAAGAAAATAGAAGTAATGATTCCCGAGCCCCGATCTACAATTAAATTCTTCATCCGACGTACGTCCATTAACCATTATGACCGCCCCTGACTCGTTTCCCCGCAGCCGGGTCCTCTTCTGTCCCATCATCTCTTGACCTCTTAATTGGTACAAACTGTCTAGCCCCAGGATTCATGATGCGACCCGGGCTTTGCTGAGAGCCCTGCTGCCCAGTCATGGGTAATCCGGTTTGAATATTCGGTACCTGTTGCTGCTGCTGCATCTGGAGCCCCGCACCTTGGTTCTGGCCTTGGCCACCAGCACCCCGTCCCTGAGGTCGGAATATTCCTCCTCTTCCCATCATTCCTCCTCCGCGAGGAAGTTGAGTTTGCGGCTGTCCTGTGGGAAGACTCATCCGTTGGCCAAACTGAGGTTGTTGCCCTGGGGGAACCCCCATTTGCTGCTGACCCATTTGCTGCTGGCCCATCTGCTGCTGGCCCATCTGTGGCTGGCCCATCTGCGGGAACTGCTGAGGGGGGATCGCGTGTGTCTGGGTTGGTGAGCCAGCCTGAGAACCTCCTCGGCCACCCTGTGCAATCCCACGACCAGCACCACCACGGGGGATGTTTGATGATAACGCCCCACGGAGACTCCTAAGTGCAGCGGGTCCAGTACCAACAGCATCACGGCGCTGCGTAGGTGGGATGGGGATCTGACTCATATCCTGGCCTTGCTGACCTTGTTGATGTTGCTGGTGTTGCTGCTGTTGAAGTTGCTGCTGCTGGAGCTGCTGTTGTTGAAGCTGCTGCTGATTGGGATGAGGAATGGCGGACATCCCAGGAGGCTTGAGTCCGCTTTGTGGTAGCGGCATTTGTTGGCCAGGCGTAGGAATACCACTGGGGGCTGGTGCGCCGGAGCCGTCGGTTGCGGCCTTAAGCTTCTCTTCCAGAACTTTGTTCTTCTTCTCAAGCATGTTGAGTTGGACCTTTATCCTTGCCTGCCCTTCCTGTCTCAATGCATCCTTCGACTTTTCCAAAGTCGCCTGAAGTTCTGATTCCTTCACCTTCATCTTCTCCTCAATCGCGCTATTAACTCTCTCCTCAACAGCATTCTTAACCCTCTCCTCTACAACACTGCTGACTCTCTCCTCAACAAGTTTCTCTCTTTCAGCCTCAACTTGTGCTTCCCACTTTGCTCTCTCCTTGACTAAACGGTGCTCAACATTCTTTTTGATGATTGCAGTCAGCTCCTCCTTAGTTGGTGGCGGTTTCCTTGTCGCGTCTGGCTCAGTGTTACGGGCTAGGAAGTCCGCCTGAAGTTGGTGTGTCACTTCAGTTTTGGCTTCTTCGATTTTAGCCTGCTCTTCCTGCTTCAACTTCTCAATCGCTTGTTGGTGTTCCAATTCCTTTGCTTCCAGAGCCTTCCTTAGCTCTTCTTCGTTAGTAGAGGAAGTGGAAACGGTTGTAGCAGTAGCCTTGGCAGTCTCGAGCTCAGATTTTACTTGTTCATATTGCTGTTTCAAAGTTGCAATTTGTTTCTTGAGCTCTTCGATAGTCGCCTGGAGCTGGGCAATCTGCTTCTTGTGTTCTTCTTCTGTTGTCGCTACCTGTTCGTTGAACTCCGCTATCTTGGCATCGAGAGCTGTTTTAACTGCAGTAGCCTTGTATGCAGCAAAGTCGGTACGGGCCTTTGCGAGTCGTGCATCTACCTTCTTCTGTTCAGCTGCAAGTCTCTCCCGAACTATGGCCTCTACTTCCTCATCAGTCTTGCCCGCAGGGGCCGCTACGGCGGATTCAGTTTGTACGGGTTGACTGGCTTGGATCTCCGCGATTCTCCTGTTGACCTCTGCCTCGATAGCGGCAGTGTTATCTGGAGGTGGGATGAGAGCCATTCTCCGTTGAACCTCGGCCTCGATTGTAGCAGCGATGTTATCTCCAGCTGGAACCGCAGAAAGCCTTCGTTGAACCTCAGCCTCGATAGCGGCAGAATTATCAGGGGGTGGTATTTGAGCAATTCTCTGGGCAACTGCGGCCTCAATCGCTGCAGTGTTGTCTGAAGGTACAATTTGGGCCATGCGGTTTCTAACCTCGGCCTCAACAGCAGCAGATATATCTGGAGGCGGAATCGCCGCGAGTCTTCTCGCCACCTCGGCTTCGATGGCCGCTTCATTGTTTATGGGTGCAGCAATAGCAATGGGAGCAACCGGCGCGGTAGGGGCGACAGGTGTAGCCGCTTTCTCAGCTTTAAGAGCCGCGATTTCCTGTTGTGCTTGGTCATATTGTTCCTTGACTGTGCGCTGTAATGCATACCAAAATTAGTAGATATCAGAATCGATAGGGTTGCGTCAACATACCACTTCAAGGTATAGTTTTTTGGCATTGGTCTTGTGCGCCTCCATTTGTCTCTCCGTGGTCGCTATCTTTTGCTGAAGTTCGTCGATATTTTTGGACGAGTTACCATTTGTTTGAGCCGCCTGAGTCAACTGTGCCCTCATTCCTTCCAACTCAGTTTCGAGTTGTGCCCTGGCATCCCTGGATTCCTTGAACTTCTGCTTAGTATCGATAACGACCTTTCGCCACACTTCTGCTACCTCCTTGAGCTCGCTTTGCTTTGCTAGCTCAAAACCTTGCAGGGTCGTATTGAGATTATCACGTTCAGCAGTGACGGCCTCGACCTGTTCCTGTAGGCTCTTGGCCTGGTCTTTGAGGGTTTCGAGGTCGGCGGGATCAATACGCTATTTGACACTTTTAGATAACCAGTCGATGATAGCATACTAGAGAAACTTACGTCGTATTTATTAAGGATCTGCTGAGCCCGTGCCTGCCAGCGTTCACCATGCTCGGTCAAGAGTTTAATCTCCTTGTCTTTCTGTTCTCGTTCCTCCTCTAGATTTCTAACTTGATCTATTTCCTAGATGTCAGCTTCCTCTTATAATAATAGCTTCTTATGTTTCGGTCGTACCTTCCAAAGGCTCAATTTTCGCCCGGAGTTCCCCAATCTTCATTTCCAATTCTTCAACCTTCCTTCCCTTTCTTTCTGCATCGCTTCTCAGCGCAGTGTTGCTCTCTCTCAACAGATTCAATTCTGAAATCTTCTCCATCAGCTCTTTATGTTGAGTTACTCCTCTAAGTTGGTCTGCCTCTCGTTGCCTCTCCTGTGCCAACAGCAACCTAGTCTCATCAACAGTAGCCTTAGAGTAATCAAGTTGCTGCTTCAACCGCTTACTCTCCTGTAGACACAACTCGTACTGTACATCTACAATTTCCTTCTCGCGTCTAAGATACTTGATGACCTCTCTCAGATCCTCAGTCTTTTTATCCAGCGCATCATGTTCAGCTGAATCGCCCATCTCATCAGCCGTTGCACGGTTCTTCTGAAGAGTTGAAACCTGTACGGTAACGTTGTCAAGCTGGCCTAGCAAGATCTTATTCTGCTTGACCAGGTCATCGCAACGTATCTTCACCTCAGCAAGTTCTTTCTCATAATTGTCCTTCTGTGCCTCCCAGCTTGTCTCAGATGAGGAGAGCATGGCCTTTGCAGATTCGGCCTCAGTCTTGATCTGGTGGACCTCAGTCCTCAGCTGTGAGTATTCCTCGCGGACTTGTTGAAGTGACTTGGCAGCATTGGCGTGCTTGACAAGCTCTTGTTCATAGTTCTGTTGTGCGTCCTGAGCAATCTTGGCTTGACTTCGTAGATCCTCCTGGTAAAACACAGCCGCTGCGTCCTTCTTCACAAGATCTTCCTTAAGACCCTCGATCTGGGCTTGAAGAATCTTCTTCTCGTTCTCAAACTCCCGACCTTGCTCAACCTCTTTCTGTTGTAATTGGGCGAGCTCCCGATTGGCAGACAAAAGTTCAGAGAGGGTATCTGCGAGCCTCTGCTCCAGATCTTTAATCTTGGTCTATAAAATGGGTTAGCATCGTTCAAGAAAGAGAAGGCTAAATTAATTACCTGGTGTTCGGTAAGTTGTTGCTCCATGCTCTCCTTGTATTCATCATGAGAATCATTCATGTTCTGCAACTCTTCCTCGGCACCCTGGGCAATCTCTTTGTACTGCTCGACCTGGGTCTTAACGTTCTCCAACTCTTCCCGGGTAAACTCAAGCGCCCTCTTCAGCTCCGCAACCTCTACTTGTAATTCTTGTTCCCTGATCTCCATGTCATCATCCTCCTCCTCAGTTGGCACAGGTGCATCTGGCTTGGGCTGGTAAACCTGCAGCTTCTCTTCCGCTGTCTTCAGCTCAACAGTCAACTCGTTGACTCTGGTTTGCAGATGATCCTGGCTGGTCTTTGCAGCGACGAGATTCTCTCTAGTAGTTGCCATTGCGGCATTGAGTTCGTCAATCTTCTTCTGCGACTCCCTTGCGTCAATCTCCTTTCTAATAACGAGTTTCTTCGCCTCCTCGACCTCCTCGTTGAGTCTGCGTTTCGTTTGCTGGAGTTCGTTCTCAATTTTCTCGGTCTGACTCATAAGTCGTCTACGGGTTTCTGAGTCGGCACGTTCTCGTTCACTCTGGATTGACTGAAGATTGGCAATAAGGCCATTCAGACGAGCGCGCTCTTGTGTGAGAACCTCATTGTCTTGAGCAAGGCGCTGCTCAATATTCTTCCACAACGTCTTCTCGGCTTTAAGATTGGCATTCTCGGTTCGCATACCCTCAATGAGAGATTTACAATCGACGAGTTCTTCGGCAACCTGTTGAGTCTTGAGATCTTGCTTGGCATGGTTCTCACCCATACTGCTGATGCGTGATCGAAGCTGGTCATTTTCTTCTTTCAGCATATGGAAATTTCCGTTAAGCATCTCATATCGTTCTGTTAAAAATCAATATTAGCACTTAGCACTGTAATAATAATAACCTTTTTGGACAATACGTACCGGTCGCCAACTCTAGTTGTGAGTTTGCTCTGGCATATTGCATTCCAAGCTCCGCCTTCTCCGCGGCCAGTCGTCGAGCCTGCTCATTCAATGTATTGTGGTTTTCCAAAGCTTCAGTCTTGAACTGGTCGTACTGGCTCTGGAGATCCCTGATGACCTCACCCAAATTGACTTGTGGAGCCTGGGAGCCAGCATCAGATTCTGGTGCCTTTGGTGCCTCCTCTTCCTGTTGTTGAACGGGGCCTTCTCTATTCTGTAGCATGCGTCTAAACATGTCACGTTCACGGAGGAATGACTGAGCTTTAGTGCCAAGAGTCTTAAGTTCGTCCTTTAGTCTCTCTACCACACTCTTGAGATGAGCGATCTCCTGTCCTTCTTTACCCGCCTCGTTCTGCCTTCGCTGCTCTTCCTCTCTCTCCATCTTTTGGCCCAGTTCCCGGATACCCTTGAGAAGATGCTCGTTCTGCTCCTGTAATTCCCTCACACCTCGGAATACGGTCAGTCTCTGTGAGATCAATCTATCTGTATCCGTGTCACTTCCTTCTGCCATTTCCCCGCTGACAATCTGCTCAAATACCCGATTCTGCGCGACCGTAAGTGGGTCAGCACCAGAATCCCGGTGCTCGATCTCAACAAGAAGGACCTGGACTTGGCTACTGAGATCGCGAAGTTGTTGACGGAGAACAGTACTTTCCCGTTCGTGCTCTGCAATCTTAGCCTCTAACCGCCTAGCCTCCTTCTTTGTCTTATCCTTCTCCTTTGCTGCATCCTCACATAACAAACTCATCTCAACTAGATCCTTCTGAAGCCTATCATGTTCCTCTCTAAGCTCCTGGATCTCCGGAGCTTTATGTTCTAAATCTTGCATCAAGTCATTTATAGCCTCCTCCAACTTTGAATTCCTCCTCTTCTCCGCTTCAAAGCTAGCCTTCATGGCAGTGTAATCAGAGTAAAGCTGGGTAATAGAAAGTCCTGATTTTTGAAGTCTTGCAGCAGCTGGGGAACCAAGGCCACCAGGAGTACCCATGGCAGATCCGGGACGACGAGTAGGCGTTTGGCTTCCATTCATACTTCCACGACGAGAACCAGCACCATTATCAACGATAAAGCCACCGGCAGCATAGGTCGAAAGCTCAGCCTCCAATCGCTCCACCTGTACTTCCAACTCAGCAACTCTTCTCTCGGCAGCATGTCGCTCGGTTTGCTCGGTTTCCGCCTCTGCACGGGCACGACCAAGTTCGATACTATCCTGCTCATGCCCCTGCTCGATAATTTGCTCCAATTCGGCGATTCTAGCTCTAGCCTTTTTGTTGGATTGTTCAAAGAGCTCAGCAAGCCTCTTCTGTGAATTCATTTCGTTGCTAAAGCTCTCCTCGCGCTGTAATTCTTGATTTTGAAGTTCCTGCACCTTGGCTAAAGCATCCTGAGCCTTCTTGCTAACCTCCTCGAATCGTTGTTTCAATATTTCCATGCTGCGTTTGGTGCTATTATCAGAAGCTAAAGCATCGTCCAGTTCCCGCTGAAGAGTGGCTACCTGCGCAGCCTTCTCCTTCCGGAACTTCTGGAATTCGCTAACCTTAGTCTTAAGTTCGCCATCGAGCCATTCATTGTTTTTCTTAAGCAATTCAACTTCCTGGGCGAGGCTCTGCTCCCTGAATTTTGCAGTTGTTTGCGCGGATTGCGCCTGCTGCAATTGAGTTTCGAGAGCGCTAGCTTCGCGGCGGGTTTCAATTGCCTTAGATTGCGCAGCAGCGTATTCATCCTGAAGACGGTCATAATCGGTTGACTTGCGGTCAAGAGCGTCCAGGGTGTCCCGTTTGTCGGACTCGAGAGACTGAACACGTATTTTGAGAACACGGACCTCTTCATCGACGTCTGACCTCGAGGATTTATAAGCCGAGAACTCTGTTTCTATTGAAATGCGTGTAGACTCTGTAATTGTGTTAATAATCTCTTGTTGTCGATGGTTACTAGGGAATCAAACCTGAAGCATTGAGTTTCGCTCTGAGATCCTGAGTTTCGGCCAAACTTGAATCCAGTTGGGTTTTCATAGCCTTGACCCTACTATCGGCCGTTCTCACAGCCTGTTCTAACTCGACTTCAATACGCAGAGCGTCGGCGCGAAGATTGTCATGTTGCCGTGACTTCTCGTCGAGTGATCTGAGTACGGAGGTAATGTAATCTTCTGTGTTGCTAGCAAATGAAGATACGACGTCCTCGGGCAACGAGAGGAAGTTTGCAAGGCGAGACACGTCGATCGCGCCACCTCCGGGAGACGGAGACAGAACGTCGGCGGACGCCATTATTTGGGAAAGAGGAATGTCACGGTTTGTGCCAAACAGCGGGTGGGGTGATGACGATTAATCTAGGGAACGTGTACAAAGGGGTAGTTGGGTGTTTGGCTGACAGACTCGGGGTTCGAGGGGTGGATGTGTATTGGGGGTTGAAAGAGAAGATGGGGGGGATAGAATGAATGTAGTTGTTGAGTGAGTATGTGGAACCGCGGTGGAACAGTGGAAGACGCGACAGTGATGGAGTTAAGCAAGCAAGCAGTGGTCTCTTTTCTTCTGGAATAGGTCTGGCTGTCCGGCTACGCGCAACGGGACATACACATACACATACGCATCAAAGGACGGGAAAATATGCCTTGCTTTTCCATACACACTTTCTACGCACAGAGGAGAAGGGAGAGCTCACAGATGGAGTTGAAGGGAAAGTAAAATACCGAGAAGAAGGCTGACGGACGCTGTTTGCGTGCAAGTCAACCAACATGCTTGCCCAGCCTTTCCCTGTGCATCAAGGTTACCCTACCTTTATATTCCTTTTCGATGCTCTAGGCATCCCAGATGCATTTGCTTTTGAAGCTGGAGTTGATCTACGGATATCATGTTTGTGTTCCAGAGTCGTAGATACTTGTACATAAATGTAGGTACACTACGTTTACAGTGAATGAAGCTGAGGCTACACATTAATTTAGAAACTCAGATGTTCTACTGGGATACAAATATGGATTAGAATACCAGATGACTTGCATCCATGGTTAAATGTCGAAATGCTGGGAAATCGTGCAGACCAATGATTGTCTTATGGCGTGGTTGCCACGCCCTAGGCTTGGCATCCCCAGAGGTGCTGTTGTGCCTTTTTTTGTTGTTTTGGCCTGCAACAACAACTGAGAGTGTCAAGTGTCTCCAGCCAACCGTCTTCCTTGCCTTGTCACGACTGCCACAAATTAGCATCCTTTGAACAGAGACCACTAAGGCTGACATCTACTATCCACTCACTCGTTTTGTCTTGAACCCTTCATCTACCTCTTGTGAGCCCCTCTTCTAACCCCCCACCATCACCCCCTACTAGCACTCCCGTCCCTATCTTGCTGCTAAATTACTCCTCCTAGAAACCTGCAAACATGGCCGAAGAGGAACCAGACTACTCAAGCATCCCCCTCCCTGACCGCGCCGTCCACAAGATATGGAAGGTTCGTAAGGGTGCCTATGAAGAAGCTGCTGCGTGAGTTTTGCTACATCTTCTCCATGTTACCTACTGTGTAACTTGATGCTGAAACTACCCCACAGTGATTTCGCAAGGTCGCCAGACGAGAGTGACCCGTGCTTCCAACCCTGGTTACATGACTCAGGACTATGGACCAAGGTAGTACTAGACTCCAACGTTGCTGCCCAGCAGGAAGGTATTGCTGCGTTGTGTGCGTTTCTACAATATGGTGGAATTAATGCGTGTTTACGGTACGAACATGTATCACAGACGTATCCCGATAAAATAGCTTGAACTGATTGGGAATACAGGACACGATCACACACAATTGGACCTCTCGTCGAAAAAGGTTTATCGTCCACTCGTGCCGCTACAAAAGAAAAGTCCCTCGAGGCCCTCCTTCTCTATGTGGAACTTGATACCCCCGTTCCGGTGATGGAATCACTGGTCCCCTTTCTATCCCACAAAATGCCTAAAATCATCGCCGCAACTTTATCCGCCGTAACCGGAATCTTTGCAGCTTATGGCGCGCGAACTGTTGATCCCAAGCCAGTTCTTAAGGTGCTCCCCGGTGCCTTCGCACACGCGGATAAGAATGTCAGAGCAGAGGCTACTAAACTCGCAATCGAGCTGTACAAGTGGCTTAAGGATGCGATCAAACCCATGTTCTTTAACGACCTGAAGCCGGCGCAACAGAAAGATCTGGACGAGGCATTTGAGAAGGTTAAGGAGGAAACACCAAAGCAGGAGAGGCTATTGCGATCTCAACAAGCTGCCGGTGTACAGGAAGAAGCGGTTGAAGATGAGGTCGAGGTTGATGCTTTTGATTTAGCTGAACCGGTGGATGTTCTCTCGAAAATGCCACCGGAATTTGACGAGCAAGTTAGTTCTAGCAAGTGGAAGGAGAGAAAAGATGCGCTGGAAGCTCTCCAAGTTTTAATTAACGTACCAAGAATTAAAGACGGCGATTTCAACGAAATTATACGGGCATTGGCCAAGTGTATGAAGGACGCCAACGTTGCTGTAGTAACGGTGGCAGCAAACTGTATTGAATTACTAGCGAATGGTTTGAGAAAAGGGTTTGCAAAACACAAGCAGACCGTGCTGTCGCCCATCTTGGAGAGATTGAAGGAGAAGAAGCAGAGTGTGATTGATGCTCTTGCCAAAGCTTTAGATGCAGTTTTTGGAGCAGTATGTGGCACTCTTCGGGGCTTTATACGTTCTTTACTAATGATCATTTTTAGACCTCTCTTACAGATATTCTTGAAGACATCTTAGAGTACCTTAAACACAAGAATCCTAACGTCAAACTTGAGACCTTACGATTTTTGATTCGATGCCTTCGGGTCACCCGGGAATTTCCTTCAAAACCGGAATGCAAAAATATTGCTGAAGGCGCAGCTAAAATGTTGAGCGATACTAGTGGTCCTGTCCGTGATGGCGCAGCTGAAGCCATGGGTACACTTATGAAAATTATTGGAGAGCGAGCAATGAACCCATTCTTGGATGGTCTCGATGATATCCGAAAGGCCAAGATAAAGGAATTCTTTGAGACAGCTGAAGTAAAAGCGAAGGAGAAGCCGAAGCCAGTTGCGCCTCCCCCACCGCCGCCCGTCGCTACGAAAGCCCCTGCGAAGAAAGTTCTCAAACCTGGGTCAAAGACTGTCAAAAAGATTGCCCCACCCTCTCAGTACGCCCAGGAGCCTGCAAAGCCTAGTGAAGCCCCTCGTGCAATTCCTGGAAGCAAGATGGCTCCAAAATCTGGACTCAAATTGCAGAAGAAGACTGTCGCGCCTGGGGCTGGGGCTGGGGCTGGAAGCTCTCTAGCCTCTCCAAGACGTACAGCTCCCCCGCCAAGAGAGTTAACCCCAGATGAAGAGCCAGCACCACCACCACCAAAGACTGCCCTGAGGGGGCTTGCAAGCAGACAACTATCGCGAGAGCAGCCTGTGGCACCTGGGCTAGGGGCTGCTGAGAAAGCTGAACTTGAGGAGCTCCGGGCGGATAAAGAACGATGGGCTAGGCAGCTGCAAGAGGACAAATCTGAAAAGGCACGATTGTTGCAAGAGATCAACGATCTGCAGCTGCAGGTACGCATTTTCGTAACTACCACCACAAAACACATCCTTCATTTTTTTTTGCAGTGTAACATGAAATAAATGCTAACTTTTTGTCTGAATGATTAGAATGCGCAACTCATCGAGGAGCATACACGTGATAACCTCTCTATCCGTGCCAAGGAAGCACAGCTTGTCCGCTCCCGCGCCGATGCAGAATCGGCAGAAGCCCAGGTACAAAAGCAACAACGCGAAATCGAGCGCCTCAAGCGAGAGCTTGCACGCGCGGTCCGACCTACTTCACCCGCGCCCACAGATATTTCCGAGCACCTGTATGGCCGCGAGTCAAGTCTTGGCGGAAGCTACGGTGGCCACATGGGACGGAGTGGAATGGATACGAACAGGAACAGCTTTCAATCTTCATTTTCTACAGAAGATAGCCATAATGGTGGAGGATCGATAGGCACTACCAGGGACAGAATGAGCCCGAATCACCAGCAAGAGAGCGGCAGAACTAGCGCCGCTGGAAGCAGCACTGACAACATCGAGAGCTGGAAGAGAGCTGCTGAGGTCACGAGCCAGTTGAAGCTCAGAATTGAGCAGATGAAGGCTAAACAAGGATTAGCATCCAGAGGGCAGAGGTAAAGGGCCATATGTGATATCAAGAGGATGGGTGGAGGAGCAGTGAATGGATTATGGCTGCTACGGATAGCATTTTCTGGTTTGCGTTTACATCTGTATTTTTTCTTTCTTTTGTTAGAGGCGAACTATGTCCAACAGCTCTTATAACTTTTTAACACAACGATTCTTATCTTTTTTTCTCTTGAATTTTCATTTTTCTTTCCAAAAAGCTATCGGCAGGTTCATATATATCTTGCAAATAACTTTTTATGTTTCCTTGTTTTCCTTCCTTTTCTTGCGCCTGGATTGGGATGCTGCGTTGAAGGGGGTCTTGTTTCCGGGGTGTTATTTTGCGTGTATCTTTTCTCTCTCTATTTTTGCGTGCAGGTCTGATTAATCAAGGTTTTTTTTTTCTGTTTTGCGGAATTTTCAAAGGTCGTTGCGGGAATATAAATTGAAAGACTGTTGTTTCTGAGCGGGGGTGAAAAAAAATGAATCCTAATCTGCATATTAAAATCTAGACATGTACATGTAGTCAGTTTGAAAAAACGAGCGATGCTTAGAAACATACATATTCTACCCGGGATACATACACGTAGGAAGATGACCTGTGCGCCCAATGTCGGAGCTATACATGTAGCCTAGAGAGAGGAAGTTGTGGGGAGACGGGAGGGTATCTTCCCTATGCAAGTAGCTAGCGCTGGTGTTGGCGGGGATTGTTGCACTGTGGTGGGGAAAATGGGGCTATACTTCACACCTCGCTCCCCTTCACACCCTCACATGCCTTACAATAAGCCATTACGCCAAGTGTTGCCTGAAGCTGGCCGCCGGGGCCTGGTATGGCAAACAAATAGTCTTCTCTTTCTCTGTCTTTGGAGCTGGCGCAAGCCAATTAATGCTGCAACGGTGCTCATTCTAAAAGACTCCAAGTGAGATCCAGAAAAGGGCCAGATTATAGCTATTTAGAGCGACTCTCATCCCTGCTTAAGCGTTTTGTAGCGTTGTATGCATTTTCCTCCCCTCGTCTGTGGGTTGTTGGCCATTGAGGAATTGCCTCACGGGATATCACTCGAGTGCCAAGAAACAACTAACTGAACATACATACAACGCAAGTCAGAGCCTACCGTTAAGAGTTA